ATTATACATTCTTATTGCTCAAAATAGGGTCCAGTAGTGTTATACAAACCTCGGAGAATTCCAGTAAGATATCTTTAATCATTTCTAAGATACAACAGTTCAGATCTTAATCTAACAAATGGACAACTTTGCTTTTTACACGATTTGTGCAATTTTACTGTTACATCCGATATATATATATATATATATATATATATATATATATATATATATATATATATGTGTGTGTGTGTGTGTGTGTGTGTGTGTGTGTGTGTGTGTGTGTGTGTTTTTGTGGATACGTGCGTGTATTTCTTTTCTCTGGTCGTAAAGAATGTAGAAACTGTTCATAATGATTATTGTCCCAAATGCTTTCGGTTAATTGGTTAATCATCTTCAAGGAGTCCGTTGTTAAGATATTTTGTTGATTATATTCTAAGTTGTGTTGCTTAGGAGTAATAGTAATACTGAACTGTGCTGTAAAGGAATAATTGCAATTCCATGTTGCGTTACCCTCAAAACACCACGAACACGTTCCGGCTCGTTTTCAAAGCAAGTTATATTATGCGTTGGCGATTATTGAAAGTGCTTCCAATATCTTTAGACTTCTTTTACAATTAGGTACTTTTAGAATAATAGTGGTATGTGCAGAAATTTTTCTTACGGGGGAGGGGAGATGCGTTTGAGTGTTTAAGTATATCATTATCGAACTAAGTTCACTCAAGTGGGTTGTCTGTCTTCTATTTAACGAACTCGTTATGAACTGCCAACCTCATAATTACCAATATCAACATACCTCTGAAATCCAAACTTCAGGCCATTAATGTATTTTATCAATTTCATTATACGGTACAAGACAGCGATTCGAGTAAATAAGAAACAAACAAAAAACCCAGAAAAAACAAAACAAAAACACATATTGGTCACGTGAGGCACCTCGCGGCGGTGTAATTGTTAGCAAGCTTGTCTCGCTAGAACATTTACGACTGTGTAGTGTATTCGATCCTCACTAGGTGCCCCATACTTTCGGCCTTGTACCGCATCTAAGCTACGCTTGGAAAATCACTATATTGGTTACGTGATAAACTCGTTAGCTAAAGTTGAAGTGTGAAATATATTTTTTATTATGCGTCCCGTGTTGAATTTGTCTTGTTCATAAGTTTTATCTATTTTGAGTGAATATAGTTCGATAATGATATGCTTAAACACTCAAACGTAACTCCGCGCCCCTGTAAGAGAATTTTTTGTACATAACTCTATTATTCTAAAAATACCTAATTGTAAAAGAAGTCTAAAGATATTGGAAGCACTTTTAATAAATCAGTTTAAGCCAGTAAAAGGAGTTAATGTTTTGCTGTCCTGTATTGTTAGTGTTGGTGCTATTTAATTTATTCTGTATGTGTAATCTTATTTGATTGTCGATAACGTAGCTGGGGAAACTATTGTTAACCAATGTTTGCTTTATATGTTTCAGTTAGCTGATGAATATTTTTCGGCAAGAGGAGGTTCTATTTAGGAAGTTTTTTTTTTTATCACTACTAATGATAACGTTGCAGGTATTCATTTTTTTTTGTAATTGAGAAAGTAGGAATCCTTGATATTGGGTTTCTTTTTATATGAAGGTATTAAATACATTAAAATTGAGTTCTATGTAATTATCGAAGAATGGGATTTTATTGTTATATAAGAATTTTATTACAGATTTTTTTCAAGGATGGCTTTTTGGTTTTCATATTCTTGACTACTTTTCGCTAATATTAAAATGTGTAGATCTCTGGCTTTGATTGTTTTGTAAGATTTATTTGTCGCCAATTTGCTTTCTATATTCTGATATTATTTGTGCCCCAAACCTAGTTTTCTGAAATTAAAAATTGACTCTCTATTCCAATTGACTCTCCATCTTGCAACCAAACAGATTGATAAATATTTTATACTTCATGAGTACTGCAAGTTTTAGAAGTAAAAATTGCACAGCTAAATGGATGCAAACATTGTGCTAGACAAATAATGAAGATTTGTTTTTGGTTATTTTTTATTTTATTTTATTTATTTATTTATTTGTTTTGTTTTGTTTTGTTTTCCACCAATTGCTTGCATAGGGAGAGTAAACTTGTAAATCTCTTAACAACAAAAAACGAGACAGCAGATCGGAAATAAATTTACAATACTGCAAATATCCGTCTCATTCTATTCAATGTTTAATATCCATAGATAATATAGGTGGATTGTTGCAAATGATCACATTTGATAAAGATCAATACGTGCTCAGGTTTTAATGAGTTTAGTTGTTTATAATTTTTTTTCTTTTCCTATTTTTCCTTCTGATTCTTTCTTTCTTTCTTTGTATAGATGTTATTTTTTCCATTGTTATTCATTTTTTCTTTCTCATTATATTCCTTTCGTTCTTTAATTCTTTTTACATATGTTATTTTTTTCTTCGTTATTCCTTTCTCTTTATGATTTTCTTTTCTTTCGTTCGACATTTCCTTTATCTTTTTTAGTTATTATTCTTTGTCTTTCT